AATATTGCCAGGCTTGATAAAAAATCCGCTGTTTTACATGTCTTTCAATCATGTATTCTTTATATGATTAATCAAAGACCTATATATATTTAGTTTAAACACTGACTTAGGTAGCATTTTCAAATTACATGGTTTAAAGTACTTTGCGTCAGATTGCATATTCTCTGAGGAAATACGACAGACAGAAGTAAATAACTTATTTGAGATGATGTTTCACAGAATCAAAGTAGTATTGGTTATAACGTTGGGTAGTAACCGGTGCCTTGGGAGGCTTTCGGCCACGGTGTGGAATAGCTTACCATCTGCTTTTAGAAGTCAAATACCCTGGTCAAATTCAGGAAGGACATCAATAACTCACCTCTTCACGTCCTCATTTTAGGTTCTTTACACAGACGTCATGTACATACCATTCTTTGTTTATTCATTCATGTGCACATTGAGATGGTAATCGTTTTGCCTTATATATCCTGGTGATTTTAAGCCTTTTTTTGTTTAACAATTTTAACTTATACTATCAACAATATGTTGTAAAGTGCTTTAGAGTATTTTTACAAATCATATAGGGTGTTATATAAATGCGATATAATATTATTATTATTGGGTCGTAATATTGGAAAGCAGATTATTGGGTAGGTCAGGTATTCTGCACCAAGTGGCATATTTTTGTTTACAAAGTACGACAAATAGAATAAAACCTACCCAGCATATTGGTCAATTATTCTGCATAAGTCGCATATTCTCAGAAGAAGTACGACAGATAGAAAGTAAATTACTTCTTAGGTGATATGTCACAGCGTCGAAGTGGTATTGGGTACAGTACCATTTGGTAGCGGCAAAAGAGATATGGCGGGTTGCTATGCCTATTTCCCCAAAGCTATGTTACGCTAGTGCGCGCATCCAACCGTGCACTGTTATGACGCGTCCTCAGGTATTTTTATACAGGTAGCAATATCGGAATCCCGTGTCTAAGAATAGATTATTGTAAACAGACCACATATTTGGTAATTCGGCATTATTTGTTGGTGTTTAAGTACTTGATATACTTACTATTGCCAGTTGGAGGGTAAAACAATTC